ATGCTATTTTTCTAACATTCACAAAGTTCTGAATTCTAAAAAACATCTAAAACAGCTGTATTACATTTAGTATATATATATCTCTCCAGAATTGATGTAAGGAATACTGGTCTTTATCCCTCTCCCTATAATACCCAAATAAGATTTACTCCACTGAGACTTCACCAATCCAAGACTTGGTCCAGTTGTATAGTTCTACCAGGAGAACTGTTCTGTGCAGGGTGGTTGGTGGAGGTGGGGAGGCAGGGGTAGGAGGTTGTTTCTTTCTTTTAAACTAACCCCTAGGATTCACTTGTTCTGAGTTAGGCTGAGGATTTGACCTGGTGAGATCTCCTGCTTACCCATTGTACAGTGACTAGTGTTTACTTTAGGCCTGTGGCTGCTCTGATGGTGAAGAGAGCTTGTACGTACATTATCAAGTGTTCATAGCAAGTGATCAGTATGGACTTAGGCCACTCCATGGATGTCCAGTTCCATGGATATTAGCTTCTGGTCATGAGCTGTCCCATTACCCCTTGGATATTGAATTGGACTGTTGATTCAGCCCCCTCATTCTCAATCCTGTTCCTGGATCTAAGTCAATCTTCCCCAAACTCCTGCCACCTTTTTCTTTCTTCCTTTCTTTTATTTTTTAGTATGATCACAGCTCACTGCAGCCTCAACCTCCCAGGTTCAAGCAATCCTCCCTCCTACCTCACCCTCCCAAGTGGCTGGGACCATAGGTGTGTACCATCACACCCAGCCAATTTTTAAAAAAAATTTTGTAGAGATGAGGTCTCACTACATTGCCCAGGCTGGTCTCAAACTCCTGGGCTCAAGGAATCCTCCCCCTGTGGCTTCTTAAAGTACTGGGATTACAGATAGGAGCCACCATGCCTGGACTCCTTTTCTAACTCAGATTTTCTGGCCACTCTCACTTCTTTGCAGAAATTCCCTTTACACTTTTTGGCCCATGAGTATATCATTTATGGTAAGGAAAATCCAGAGACAAAATAACTACACATACTGCCTCCCAGTTAATAACATGCCTCTTATAACTTGCCTTAATTGAGCTTTTTCATTTTTGTTTTTGAGTCAGAGTCTCACTCTGTTGCCCAGGCTGGAGGGCAATGGCACAGTCACAGCTCACTGTAGCCTCGACTTCCTGGAGTCAGGTGATTCCCCCACCTCAGCCACCCGACTAGCTGGGACCACAGTCTTGTGCCACCTCTCTCAGCTAAGAGCCTTTTGTTAATCAAAGCTTCTCCCCACCACATTCCACCACATCCCTATCCTTTACTTTCCTTGTTTTTTGAAAGGAAATGAATTCCTTCCTTCCCTTCTCCCTTCCCTTCTCCCTTCCCTTCCTTTCTCCCTTCCCTTCTTCCCTTCCCTTCTCCCTTCCCTTCCCTTCCCCCTTCCCTTCCCCTTCCCCCTTCCCTTCCCTTCCCCTTTCTGACAGTTTCTCTCTTTCACCCAGGCTAGGGTGAAGTGGCATGATCTCAGCTCACTGCAACCTCCTCCCCCTGGGTTCAAGCGATTCTCCTGCCTCAACCTCTCAAGTAGGTGGATTTATAGGCAACTGCCACCACGCCCGGCTCATTTTTGTATTTTTAGTAGAAACAGGATTTCGCCATGTTGGCCAGCTGCTCTCAAACTCTTGATCTCAGGTGATCCACCCACCTGGGCCTCCCAAAGCTCTGGGATTACAGGTGTGAGCCACCATGCCGGGCCACGTTGAATTTATTTCTGATTTGCCTTCATAATTAATACCCATTAAAGCTAGATTCTGTTGTTTGAAAAATGGTCTTTTTAGCAACAATCAGAAGCTAAAAATTAAATTCAGTATTGCTTTTGGAAGAGATCAGTGATACAGAATAAAAATTTTAAATATATATTTAATTTTATGAAACTAACTTATCTAGTTTATAAATATTTCATATTTGTATTCTAAGTGTTACTGTATTGAATCTTTATGAACTCTAGGCAGCATGGTGTAATAATAAGTTTCAAAACATTATGATAACTATTCATGATGTAGATTTTTCCTCTGCATCCACAATCAAAGCTTACCAGTCTTAGCTCTTGTCTCATTAAGACCCAGTCCTGTACTAAAACAAATATGAAATCTGATAAATTAATGAGAAATATTATTGGCACATTAGTCTTTTAATAAGGGTCATCAGTATCTTTACCTGAAGAAATAATTGGGCCGGGTGCAGTGGCTCACACCTGTAACCCCAGCACTTTGGGAAGCCAAGACGGGCAGATCACTTGAGGCCAGGAGTTTGAGACCAGTCTGGCCAACATGGTGAAACCTTGTCTGTACTAAAAATACCAAAATTAGCCTGGTATGGTGGCGGACACCTGTAGTCCCAGCTACTTGGGAGACTGAGGCAGGAGAATTGCTTGAATCTGGGCAGCAGAGGTTTTAGTGAGCCAAGATCTCATCACTGCCCTGCAGCCTGGGTAACACGTTGAGAAAAGATGAAAGAAAAGAAAAGAAAAAAGAAAGAAAGGGAGGGAGGAAGGGAGGGGAAGAAGGGAGGGAAAGAGAGAGAGAAGGGAGGGAGGGATGGAAGGAAGGAAGGAGGGAAGGAAGGAAGGGAGGGAGGGAAAGAGAGAGAGAAAGAAAAGGAGGGCGGAAGGGAGGGAGGGAAGGAAGGAAGGGAGGCAGGGAGGAAAGGAAGGAGGGAAGGGAGGAAGGGAGGGAGGGAAAGAGAAAAAGAGAAAGAAAAAAAGGAAAGAAGGAAGAGAAAGAGAAAAAAGAGGAAGGAAGGAAGGAAAGAGTTAAGTGCTCCTTTGGTTAATAGATCTCAATAGAGAAAACACAATGTTCATGTTCCAATCCATCATGATTCTTACAATCTAGATGGGGGTTGGCAAACTTTTTCTATAAAAGCCCAGATAGTAAATATTTTATGCTTTGTGGACCACATAGGGTCTCCGTTGGATATTCTTTTTTTTTTTTTTAATAGAATCATTTAAGAATGTAATGAAATGTGAGAAGGGCATATGAGCACTGTAGTCACTAAGGGTTTTGATGACCATTAACAAATGATAAGTAAATTAATGTTTGTATAGTAAGCTAGGCACTACAGTCAGTGGGAAAGAACAAGCATCACATGGGGACCAGGAAGTAGCCAAGTTTCACTGGAATTTATTACTTTCTGTGAGAAAATATACACTAGAGAGTTCTCCTTATATACACCATAGCGTCCTCCTTCTAGGATGTTAGTGTCTCAATGACAGGGCTGTCCACCATCCTTTCCAGCCTTATATTTTTTATCTTTTCCAGATTTTTTATATCTTTTATATCCTTTCCAGCTATTTATTTATATATTTTATATCATTTCCAGTTATTTTATATATTTTATATCCTTTCCAGCTTTATATTTATATACATACATATTTTGTGTGTGTGTGTGTGTGTGTGTGTGTGTGTGTGTATACAAATTAATACATATGGCTGAGTGGTGGCTCGCTTTGGGAAACTGAGGTGGGAGGATCACTTAAGCCCAGGAGTTCAAAGACCAACTTGGGTAATGGAGTGAGACCTCATCTCTACAAAAAAAAAAAAACCTTTTTTTTAAATTAGCCAGGCATGTTGGCACATGCCTGTAGTGCCAGCTACTCAGGAGGATGAGGTGGGAGGATGGCCTGAGCCTGGGATGTTGAGGCTGCAGTGGGCCAAGATCGTGCCATTGCACTCCAGCCTGAGTGACGGAGTGAGACTCTGTCTCAAAACAAAGAACAACAACAACAACAAAAAACTATATGACTTTGAGATAGAAAATTTGGGCTGTGTGCAGTGGCAGTGGCTGGCAGATCACTTGAAGCCAGGAATTCAAGACTAGTCTGGCCAACA